GCCGTGGAGGAGCAGCTGAAGGACGTACGCCGCATTCAAGCCTCACAAGCTGCATTTGCTGCAATCCTGGGTGATGGATCTGTTATCACCTGGGGTGATCGCCGATGCGGCGGCGATTGCAGTGAGGCGGTGCAGAAGAAGCTGAAGAAGGTGCAGCATATCCAAGCTACAGAAAGTGCATTTGCAGCGATATTGGGTGATGGATCTGTGGTCACCTGGGGTGCATGTGGTGGTGACAGCATCGTTGTACAGGATCATCTAGCGAACGTGCAACACATCCAAGCTTCTCGTGGTGCCTTTGCCGCAATCCTAAGTGGTGGATCTGTGGTCACCTGGGGTCATTCCGAACATGGTGGCAACAGCATTGATGTGCAAGACAGTTGGGCATGAGGCAGAGCGGAAGTCATGTGCTTTCAGAAAAGTGTGTTCTGGTTATCATAGGATGCACCCTACCATTGACTAGCATTCTGAATCTGCAGTTTTCAAGTAACTCCCTGCACCTCAAACTCGTCCTTAGAATAACCTCGCCACCCCACCCCAACCCCAAACCAAAACAGTTTCGAGTTGTGCCCTTACTGCCGAAGTGGGTCTTGCATACTGTGTGTGGAATCCCGTCTCTGGATTCCTCCACCCCATGGGTCCTACGACTTTTGGGAATTCCTGGACGCTAAACCCCTGAACAACCCAACAACCCTTCACCCTAATCTAGGGGCCTGAACAATCACCAATACCATTTTTTGGGACGATGCTTGTTGTAAATGGGTACCAAAACCCTATTCTAATCATTAAGGCCCCTATATTGCTGCTTTTGGGACCCCCCAAACACCAGGATTTCTGAGACCGCAAAACGCCCCAAAGGCTCTCCCAGAGCGACTGCGAGCCTTCCCAAGGAGATAGTTTTAGGGCCTTAACAATTAGAGGGTTTTGGGGGGCTCCTGTTAAAGCGTGCCTTGAAGGGTTCTACAAGGGCTTCTATAAGGGTTTAGGTTTTAGGGCCTTCACAATTAGAATAGGGCTTCGGGGGCTGCTTATTGCAATTATTGTATAATCGACCCCCCCCAAAACCCTAGTGTAATGATTAAGGCCCCTGCATTACCTAGAACCCAGACGGCATGGTTCATGTTGGAAGCTTGAAAGAATAGCAATGTTGTTCGGGGAGTGCCTTCGCCTACACTTTGTTCCCCAATACCCAACCTTGAAGCTTGTGGGGTTCTTATAATTTAGTAGTAATCTGAAAGCATTAACCTTCTGTTTCCCTAGCTTCTTGGGGAATTACATAAGTAAATGACAGTAGAACATCCCTCCAAGATCCTGATTGCACATGCTTTGCGTCGTCCGCTGTTCAGAGAGAACGGGGCGGAAAGTTGGGGCGGGGAATTCTAAACCCTAAACCCTGGGACCCTCATCCCAACCTAAACCCTAAATCCTAAACCCTAAACCCTGGGACCCTCATCCCTAAACCGTCTGACTACTTAGGCCGGGCCAAGTCCCGAAACTCTGCACCCCAACAAATCCTTTTCTAGCTGTGAAGTCACCGACATGAACCCCACCAAAGCAAGGCGCTCAACTTTGCCATCACTGCCTATGAGAAGCAGATGGATGCTGGGCCGAAGCAGATGGCGGCTGGAGTTGAGCTCGGGGCTGGGTAGGGCTCTTTGAGGGTTTAGGGTGGTTTGGTAGGGTTTTTAGATGGTCTGAGGGCGTTAGGAGGGACCCTTAATAGGGACCCTTGTAGGTTATTGGGGTTAACATGGAGACTACCTGGCTATATAAGGGGTATAAAAGGACTATACAATGGTTATTTAAGGTAATGGGATTAAGGCTCCCTATTAGGGGTCCCTCCTAAAGTCCTTAGAGATGGGGGTTTGCAGTGGTGTTGTTGTAGTTTTAGGGGTCTCATAGGGGTTTGCAAGCGTTTACAGTGGCTTCATATGGGTTCCATGTGGGTTCTATCGGGTTTTATAGTTTTATACAGGCTGAAATTTCGTGGTCTTCATGTTTAGAGTTGGGCTTGGAAGGGTTCTCGGAACTACATGTGATTTCTCGCAGATTGAAACGTTTAGGCTTGTGAGGGTTTAGGATGAAGGCAAGTACAAGCGAATGCTAGGTGTTGCTTTGTGATACCTGTAGGTGTCCTTGTGGTCTTGTGACAGCCCACATACTTCTGGTCCACGAATGGACGCCATGGCCAAGCGAGGCGGACCACAACGGCGTACCTTGACACAGGCAGGACTTGGGATTTTGTGCGCAAGTTATGCCCCAGTCCGTCCTTTGGCCTTTCGCGATGTCCTATTGTGCTTTGAGCTCCGACGAGTTCCAGCAGCAGTTCCGCAATGGCCATTTGCAAAACATGGGTCTTGGCGAACCAATCCTCATTGATGTTAATGATTGGCACTCTTGCAAGCGAGGGCTGTATTGGAAACCCCTAAACCCTAAACCCTAAACCCTAAACCCTAAGCCCTAAACCCTAAACCCTAAACCCTGATCAGCAGGGGCGTTTTCCCCGTTACCTTCTCGACTGGCGCTCAGTGGCCTTCCCCTCAACCTTAAAATCCTGAACCCTAAACCCTAAAGCCCAAAGCCTAAACCCTATAAACCCTAAACCCCGAACCCTGAACCCCTGAACCCCTAAACCCCTAAACCCTATAAACCCTGAACCCTGAACCCTGAACCCGGTATCTTTGAGAAGCCAGACCCTGGCCAAGTTTCAGATGTCACGGGCCTCTTGGATCCGGGTCCCACAGCCTTTGGCCCTCAATCCTAACACCCTTCAGCCCGAATCCTGTCAGAAGCCCGGAGGTTGTGTGCCCCAGAAAGCTCCAGCACCCTAAGCCCCTAAAGCCCTAAACCCCTAAACCCCTAAACCCTAAACCCCATAAGCCCTAAACCCCAAGCCCGAAACCCTTAAACTCTAAACCCCATAAGCCCTAAACCCCAAACCCGAAACCCTTAAACTCTAAACCCCATAAGCCCTAAACCCCAAACCCTAAACCCTAAACCCTATAAACCCTAAACCCCTAAACCCTAAACCCTTAAACCCTAAACCCCACAAGCCCTAAACCCCCAAACCCAAAGCCCTTAAACTCTAAACCCCACAAGCCCTAAACCCCAAACCCTATAAACCCTAAACCCCATAAACCCTAAACCCTTAAACTCTAAACCCCATAAGCCCTAAACCCTAAACCCTTAAACTCTAAACCCCACAAGCCCTAAAGCCTGAACCTAAACCCTAAATCCTAAACCCTAAACCCCTAAACCCTAAACCCCGAGGAGGATCCCTCCTTCTTCACGGAGCTGCGGGAAGCGATCCCGCTGAACGAGGCCTGGAGACCGAGAGCGACGAAAGGTTTAGGGCCTTTGGAGTTTAGGGTTTAGGGTTTAGTGTTTGGGGTTAGGGCCTTTGGAGTTTAGGGGTTTGGGGTTTTTAAGGTTCAAGGTTTAGGGTCTAATAAGGATCAAAATGTTTCCATGGAGTTGAGGGTTTAGGGTTTGGGGTTGATGGTTTGGGTTCAGGGTTGAGGGTTTAGGGGTTGGGGTTTAGGGTGGAGGGTTTGGACCCACATTGCCAAAGCCCTTAGCTCTTCAAGCAAAGGGCTTTGGCAATGGTCCAGCGCTTGGGTCCCACCCTTTGCTAGTGCCTTTGGCACCGCAAGCACTCTGAGCATTTGCAGCACGAGCGCTAGTTACGAGCAACGTCGCTTGTAAGGGCCTGGGTTGACGATATTATTACCCTAAACCCTAAACCCTAAATATTTAGTGTTTGAGAGCAGCCTCGTGACAGCGAGAATGGAAACGATGTCAAGAATTCTGACAGCGCTTCGACCGACCCCGATCGATGACTCGTGGGAGGAAGCTAGACCATGCAGGTGATCCTTCCTGACGAGAGCTTGCTAGATAAAGCTTCTTCCGTTTGTTTTATCTGTTTCGAATTCTTCAGTCGCTTGGTCGCATGCTTTCGTGGGCTCCTCGCACGTGGGGGATCGCTTGACTTGGGAGCAGCTGGACATCGAGGTGGACATTCCCGTGTTTTTGGGCGACATGGCCACGCTCGGGCACATGTTCAGATTCTGGATTTTCGCCGTGACTCCGCCGCAACCAGCTTGACTTCATCCCATGTTCGACAGAGTCCTTCTTCGTTTGCAAGCGGAGCATATACCTTTCTTGGGTCAGCGATCCCCTAAACCCTAAACCCTAAACCCTAAACCCTAAACCCTAAACCCTAGACCCTAAACCCTAAACCCTAAACCCTTGCGGCTACGTGTCCACGCAGGCTTCGCTTGGGTGCACCGGGTCTGTCTTGCAGGTTCCGAAGGACGTGCGCGGCATCATCTTCGACTTCAAGACTTCGAGGGTTTAGGGTTTAGGGTTTAGGGTTTAGGGTTTAGAGTCAGATGAGCACGTGGAAGCTGGTTCCTCCAGACCAATGAGGGCTTCACCAGGCGTGTGCCTCAGCTCCTGCATATCGGGCCGACCGGGCGGCGCGGAGCCAATGGGTTCTTTCCGTTTGCTTTTCTGAGATGTGCAACGAAGTGATGATGATGTGGCATCCGCGATCCTTTGTCGAAACAAGTAGAGACCAACCATGCCTTGTGGCCCGCAGACCTTCCGCAGGGGCCAGCCTCATAAGCTCTTCATGTAGCGTGGGCGATCAACCCAAAGCGCACTCAAAGACGGTCTGAATTGAAAGTGCTCGCTGCGAACGCTTGTCTACCGACCCTTTGCCTGGTGTAGTAAGCACGAGTGGGGATTTTGCCCTGGGTGCAACACTTTGGGTGTGCAAAACACTCACGGGGCTTTCGTCGAAGCTGCAAGGTGCTGGCTACCCCTGGTATGTGGCAGTGCATGTGGGCGGAACCTTGCCAGGACATCCTGTTCCATGCCCTTTAATTTAGTTCCTATGCCTGCTTGAAGATCTTATATGCTGTGTCGAAGGCTTGCGTGGGTGTTTTGTGCCATACCACTAATGCCGCATGAAAAGTTTCGGAGGCTTCGTGCGGCGGATGTTCCTGGATTCCGAGTCCTCCATGGCCGCAGCAGCGACCTTCCAAATGATTGATTTGTTTTTGCGTGTTGTGTGAGTCAGTGTCAGGAAGGACATAGATGTGTCCCCAGTTGTATGTTGTGATGGAAAAAAACTTACCACGCAGAGACAAATGCTTCCACGGCAGACGAGCTAGGGTTCAACCTTGACATGAGTGTCGCAGACTTCTAGACGTCATGCCACCTCATCAAAAGCATTTTTCGAGAACACCCAGGGGAAAAGTTCATTTGGACGATTTGCGGCTTAGGTTTTGGACTGTGGGGTCTGGGTTTTAGGCCGCATCGTTTAATCCAGAAGTAGCAGCTCACCTTGGACGATTTGAGGTGTACGTTTCGGATGGTAGGATCTCGGGTTTAGGGTTTGGGTTTCCAGCCTCAGGTCGGTCCAAATCCCAAAGCTGGACCGTTAGGCATTTGGTTTCGGGGCTTGGGTTGTAAGTTGCACGTCCTGGTGTGTTATTTTCGAGCAAGCTAGCCCGACCACCATGTATATATTCTTCATGAGCTATCCTCAACAAGGTTCAGATATCGCAACTCTAAAGCCCAAATAGATACCATGTGTTTACATGAACCCTCGCGGGCGGCTAGCCTGCCCCCAGGATCCTACTGTAACCCTACAGAGTTGCAGCCCTTGGCTTTTCAAAACAGTGTGAGAAACGCCAAATCATAGCTATGAGCACCATGTATCCTTAGACCCCGACATCGACATCAGGGCCATAATACCCCGAGGCCTAGGAATTGAAACCTCCGGTTTTAGGTAACATCTCAAGCTTTTTCAGTTCATTTACCTTCCTGTTAAAAGGTCTTAGTACAAAAGTTTCAACAGAAAGCTATGATGACTATCGGCGCCGCAAGATGTGCGCCAGGGCAAGCAAGAAGAAGCGGTGGAGTGGCAGAAGTCAGCCGGGAGCCCCACGTGGGATTTGAGCTTACGAGTCAGAGAGGGATGTTGGGAAGGTTCGAAGAGGAGGGGACGTAGGGCTACAGGTATTTCATGTTCGGTAGTTACAGGCATTTTCATGAACCCTGACTGTGGATTCAATTCGGGGAGCCGTTAGCTAGCAGTGCAACCCCTTGTTTTTTGCAGGGGGCGGTTGTTGTAAAACAACGTTCCCTTGCAGATCAGGCTTGGGCTTCGAAGAGCACTACGGGCATAGATCGAATTGTAGTGCATTGTGTCGTGCACTATGCCTGCAGTTTTTGGGTTCAGCTTGCAAGCTTGCTAGTATGTATGGACCTTCCTTAACGAATCACAAGACATACAAACCATATGCACAAACGCGCTAATCAGGATTGCGCTTCCGGATTTATATCTGTTAACCCTGTTTACTATACAGCCCAGGTCCTTCAAGTAGTATACATGGGCCCCCTCTGGACTTACGAGTTAAATCCCTTCATCCTGACCCTGGAGCCCATTGGAAGCTTTAGCCGATCAGGTATTTGACCAATTTAGGGCCTTTAGGTTACACGGGGTAGTATCAAGGTCGATGAGCAGCTTGCGGAGAACCGGAAACGCTTCCCGCTGAGCAAGCTGCGGCCCGGAAGCAAATTGATCTGGGTTTGCTCAAGCCTATACAGCTCAAAACGTAGATGTTGAACTACTTGTTTCTGCTACTTCCGCAAGTGTTGTCATAATCAGACCGCTTAGGCAACGAATCAACAACATCAACAGGGGGCATACTGTAGCAAAAAGGTCATAAGTGGGGCTTATAGTTAGATAACTTTAAGTTTGATTAAAGTTGTAGCCTTCACAACCACATTTATAGCGTACTTGAGAAAGTCGCGTGATCCTTGGAACATACCTCGAAACTCGAGCAGAACTCCCTGAACAAGACAGCGCTGACTCTAAACCCTAAATCGTCAACCCTAAACCGAGCGGCTACGGCTCTGTTTGGTTACCGGGAAGGCCATATTAGGGTGTCTAGGGCTTGGTGTTGTTTCAACGCTCCGGGCTGTATCTCTTCAAGGTTCGTGTTGTTTACAGCGGCTTTACAGGCCATGCAAAGCTTGGTGTTGTGGTTATTGAACTACGATGCAAGGTTGGATATTCGAGTTTTCATGGTGTGTGATATCACGAGGCCCGGGTTCGAAATTGAAGACGAGCTTCTCTCAAAAAGCAGCAGTACCCTTGCCACAGACAGCTGCCTAACACTCAGGGCCCTGGTGCTTGAGGGACCCCCGAAAGGCTCAGCATATAGATTACAAGGATACTTTTTCCTGAAGAGAAGCGTAGACCGGCTGTAGTTACAAAATCCCGAGCTTTTTAAATGGGCTTTGGAGTACCATACTTGAATACTTTTTTGGGGACCTGTTCCTTAAAGGAACCATTATAAAATAAAAGTCTATACTTTTTTCTCCCTGGTTACTTCAAAGCCCAGTTAATTACGATTGCAGATCATGCAGTTCTGGGGTTGGCTGGTCAAGGTTTCTCCCTGTCAGGGGCTCTGAAATGTTGGATGTACTTAAAGGATCATGGGACTTAGTAAGTAGGGTTATAATTAAGGTAACTATACTTATATCTTCTTATAACCCCAATTAAGGGACTTATAACCTTACTTACTAAGTCCCATGATCCTCCAAGTAGGGAGTCGTAAACCGCCCAAGGAAGGAGTGCGACTCCCTCTTCATCGGCCACAGCAACTTCCATGTGGAGAATCCCTTTCAATTGTGGCAGGCAGGCTTCCAACAGTTGTATCGAGGGCAGGATTTGAAGGCGTCCCTTTCCCTAAACCCCAAACCCTAAGGCCCTAAACCCCAAGCCCCAAACCCCAAGCCCTCAACTTTTCACCCTAGCTGCACATGTAGGTTTGGGATTCGGGAGTGTGGGCTCTCTTGCTATGAGAGTGCCTCAGAATCTGTGTTCTTGAGTGTTTATAGGTTTCAGGTTCTAGGGCGTTGTATGGAGGATGTATTGTTTAAGGTTTCAAGCGATCATCATCCCCCGCAAGCCCTGAAACCCAAATCCCCCAAAATAAACCAGACCTTAAACTCCAAAGTAGCGTTTAGGCCCCTTAACCCTAAACCCCAAACCCAAATGCCTAAACCTTAAACCCCAAAAGCAGCATTTAGGCACTGAGGCATAGCCGACCAGGCTTCAAACCCGCCACCCTGCGAAACCTGGAAGGACAAACCCTGCTGTCGAGGTGTTAATACCTAGGGAGTATTAGGGAGACCCTTAAAGGGGACTCTTCTTAATTCTTAACCCTACTTCTGGCTCTCTGAAAAGGGACCTTGTTGAGAGGGTCTATATCCCCAAGGGTCCCCTTAATCCAAACTCCTATCAATGTAGAGCCTTGAATGAAGGGGGCATGGAGCCACCGCGAGTCGGATACTCGCGCCCCCCAATTACCCAAAACCCTAAACCCTAAACCCTACAACACAACAACCCGTGCAATCTTGCCTTAGCGTAAGGCCCAGAGGCCGGGAACCCCCACATCTCTGCTGCATCCCCCAATCCATCGTGCAGGAACTGTAAACCCTAAGCCCAAACCCTGACGGTTTAGGGTTTAGGGTGGAACCATTAGCCCTAAACCCTAGCCCCAAACCCCCAATCCATCGTGGATGGACCCTAAACCCCAGCCCCTAAGCCCTAACTCCCAGCCCCGAAACCGCCAATCCATCGTAAACCCCCAGCCCTGCACCAAACACTGCGTGGTACTGGAAAGTCGGAAACCCTGTATACATACACTGATGCCCTGCCTGAAAGCCTCGAATCCCTCAACCCTAAACCCTCAACCCAGAAGCTAGGACCCTCAATTTGCAGCTCTGTCCGTTAGGGCCGTCAGGGGCAAGCCTGATTTGGCTTTGTTATTTACTATATAGTTCTAGAATATAGAAGCATAGAAGCTTCTTGCCAACATAGTTTCCTTCAACTCTTTAACAGTTTGGGGCTAAAGTACTCGGTTTAGGGTTTAGGGCTGAGGAAGGCCACAGGCAGTAGGGCTTAGTGCCCAGAGCGTGGGATTGTACTCAGAAGTACACATGACATATGGGCTTGAATAGCTATCAGGAATTCTCAGGGTTCCTCATTACACGTACACTATGATATGCCCCGCCAAAATCCTGTTCTAATTGTTAAGGCCCCTCTATTGCGTGATCCGGGAAGCTGTAGTCCTAGGTTTTGTGTCAAGCGACCACTCTTCCGAGCATCATGTCGATTTCCGTGGATGTGCACCTGCTGAGTGGCAGGCGTGCCTCTGTGGAAGTGGAGGCGGATGCATCTGTTGAATCATTGAAGCGCCGCGCCTACAGTACTCTGGCGGTCCGGAGTAGGGGGCGGCTGGTGAATTCTTCTGGAGAGGTGCTGGACGGAGCACAAACGGTCACAGAAGCGAAGTTGAGGAGTGGAGACGTGCTCACTCTACATGTGAACCAGTTCCAAATCAAAACCACCAGGCAAGGCGGCGAATTCACTGCATTCGCCGTCCTGTTGGGTGATGGATCTGTGGTCACTTGGGGCAGTGCCGACCATGGCGGCAACAGCAGTGCGGTGCAGGATCAGCTGCGAGATGTGCAGCAGATCCAAGCTTCTTATGGTGCTTTTGCTGCAATCCGGGGCGATGGATCTGTGGTCACCTGGGGCAATGCCAACTATGGTGGCGACAGCAGTGCGGTACAGGATCAGCTGCGAGATGTGCAGCAGATCCAAGCTTCTCCTGGTGCATTTGCTGCAATCCGGGGTGATGGGTCTGTAGTCACCTGGGGTAATGCTCAGTATGGTGGATGCAGCAGTGCCGTACAGGCGCAGCTGAGGAATGTAAAACAGATTCAAGCTTCTGATTCCGCTTTCGCTGCAATCCTGCGTGATGGATCTGTGGTCACCTGGGGGAATGCCGAATGCGGTGGCGACAGCAGTGCGGTACAGGATCAGCTGCGAGATGTGCAGCAGATCCAAGCTTCTGTTGGTGCATTTGCTGCAATCCTGGTCAATGCATCTGTAGTCACCTGGGGCAATGCCCGCTTTGGTG